AGACTTTAAGAAAGTTGTGTTAACATGATTTGTTTAGGTCGGGGGTTGGCAACACACGGCTCTCGAGCCGCTTGAGTATATTTAGCACCCCCCAATGGCTCCCTGGAGCTTTTTCAAAAATGTTTGAAAATGGAAAAAAGAGAGGAGAGAAATATGTTTTTGTTTTAATATGGTTTCTGTAGGAGGACAAACACGACACAAACATGAAAAATATATAGAATAAAGATTACATTTCATCATTTCTGTTAGCGAGGATTTGCATCACAGCCTGCGACACACGTTTCTATTAGCAGGACGGGATGCCAGGCGGATGGCTGTTGTAAAAAAAAAAAATTAAAAACAGCATTTCATGTACGGTTCACCGAGGGTACTGGCAAAGAATGGGAACCTGGAGGACCGAGAGAAGCATTTTTAGATGGTACACGTGAGCTACAACAGTTAACACGCTGCAAAAGTGCGTCCCATGCCTCATTCATCTTGGCGGCCGTTATGGCTGTCACTCATTATGGGAGGCGTGTGTGCTGTAACGGGTCAATCGCGTGAGTTTGGTTGATCAAAAAGTAGACCTTACGTCAAAAAAGTTCGCCCCCCCCTGCTCTATAGGATGCATGCAGGGGAAAATAATTAATCATGAAGGCTTATTGTGTATTTGTAGCCAACTTAGTCATTTTCATAGTAGGCTAATATAGATACATACGGCATGTGTTGCCTTCATTGGAAGGCTTTTAATTTTTTGCGGCCCCAGACGTTTTTGTTTTTTGGTCCAATACGGCTCTTTCAACATTTTGGTTTGCCGACCCCTGGCTTAAGAGTTTTATTTAATGCTTAATACCTGGCAATTCCGGCTTCGCTTTCTCAAAGGTAGCTGGGTTTCACACCACTCATGTGCTCTGCTCTCTCTTCACTCTGAACTCAGTGAATCCTTTCGCGACTTTGACGCAGATTGGTTGGTTATAAACAACAGACATGCCACATGTGCCAATTTGTTATTCCATCATGGAAGCCACTCAGGGTGAAAGCTCTAGCTATGTATCCATGCGCTGGCTGCCGCTTGCCTGAAATTTTCTAATGTTGGCATTTGAAAAAAGATGCCAAATACCAGCAGTTGTATATTTTTGGGTGGGGACCAATGTGCTTGAGTTGTGAGCTGTCAGACTGGCCATCTTGTCTTGTATGGTGTATGGGCTATCACGTGACAAATAGAGCGTCATGCAGTTAAAAGTAACCTTATTACTCTTCATTTTAAATAGTTATAGTAATAATGACTTGGAAAAGCAACTACAAATATATATGTGCTCTCAAAAAATGGCATTAGGTCCTTTTTGTTTGTTTGTTTTAATTGGCAGTGTTGAAAGTGGCACTGTTGCTATTTTTCACCATAACATTCCCCAACCCTGATTAATATAATTATTGCACTGCTCCTTTAATCTCCAAGTTAGTTATTTGCCGCATACCGCAATTCTTCACATTTCTACATTTTGTCGAGTTACAGTCAGTCTACATCCGTCAACTCGGATTCTTGTGTGTTTATTTCATTCACTGTTCTGGTAGATCTTTCTTTTATCTGATGATGGAGTTGTACAAATTAAACACATCTTCATTTTCTGTTCACAACTTTTACGGTTCTTAACTTAAACTTGACAAAAAAACCCTACTTTTTTTCAACTGCGACCCCCTCCTGCTCACCATGACTTGTGCACCTTACTCAGCAGTATCCTTTCTGCTTTTCTTTGTATGTCAAATGATGTGTTCTCTGTAGACTTCGCCTGACAAAGTGGACTACGAGTACAGTGAGCTGCTGCTTTACCAGAACCAGGTGCTGAGAGAAGCGGGTCTTTACAAAGAGGCTTTGGAGCATTTGTCAAACTATGAAAAGCAGATTTGTGACAAACTGGCAGTGGAAGAGACAAGGGGTGAGTCATGTCTCTCAATGTCGCACTGACTGGACATTTGACACTCCCCCAGCCAATCTGTAGTTTCAACATTGAAATGTTGACATTTTTGCTCCAGTACTTGGAGCTAAATGGTTGTACTGGCTGTGTCATTAGTGGCTGCAGTGGGTGTGGGTTTGATTTTAAATTTAATTCAAAAATGCTTCATTTGGAATCATTTCAGTTCTGGGCTCAGCTGTATATGTGTTTCTCCTAGGGGAGTTGCTATTAAAGTTGGAGCGTCTGGATGAGGCTACAGATGTCTACCATCGCATGCAGGAGAGGAACCCAGAGAATTGGTCATATTATCACGGTCTGGAGAAAGCACTAAAACCAAGTAAGATGCTTTTTCCATGAGAATAGTCAACAATCAAATAATTATTCTGTAATTGAAACCGTTTAAAGCTGTCTCGTCAATGTGATAAGTTTCCATTTCTTTTTGTGCAACTTTTTAGGCAGTGTGGAGGAGAGATTCAAGGTCTACGAGGATGCTTGGGAGAAGTTTCCAAAAGGCCTCGTCCCTCGCCGGCTCCCCCTCAACTTTCTTACTGGTGTGGCAAATAATCACCTTTCTTCTGAGAGACTAATAATAACTCCAATTCTAACATGATGTGAATTATGGGAACAGGCTAGTAGAGGGAGATTCTGTACTTGTATGTTTTATTTTTCCCTCTCTAACAATCTCCATCACGCCACATCTTTATCTTGTAGGTGAGAAGTTCAGAGAGTGTCTTGACAGGTACCTGAGAATGAACTTCAGTAAGGGATGTCCACCTGTCTTCACCACCCTGAAATCTCTTTACAATGACAAGGAAAAGGTGATAGCAATAGTTTAGCGATGACAGCTATCAATATTTGAATGACGCATTTCTTCCTCTTGTTTAACATACACACACTACCAGTCAAACGTTTTGACACACCTCGAGAAAGGCGTGTACTAACTGTTGACTGGTAGTGTCCATAATGCACTAAGGGTAACAAAGCAAAAATTTCTTCTCTTTTATTGAATAACTTACTGTTTTACAAGTTAGTACTCCTTAATTGCAGGTGTCAATTATAGAAGAATTGGTGGTCGGCTTTGAGACCTCCTTAAAAAGCTCCAGACTGTTCAGCCAAAATGGTAAGAACAAACACATGAGCGAATTTGAAATGGAGATGTGTTGATAGGAATTGTCCAGCTTTCAGCTTGATTATCCTCAGTCAATCAGCAACATTAAAGGGGGCAGTGTGCAGTTTTAAAACTGTAAGCACGATTTCAATGTAGCCTCGCTTTGCTATTTTCTCTCCCCTCTCGAATCTCTGACCACAGGCATGCCCCTCACTGACATGAACATGCACGAGACATGCACTGTATGAAGTGCACTGCAAAGAAGTCAACTTTCGAGCAGTCACGGCTGCTTTGTTGGGAGCATGAATGACTTGGAATGGACTGTTGCTATAACACCAAATGTGATGGGTATTAGTTTTAAAGATCGAAAATAGGTTATAGACTTACCTGTCAAACAAAGTTGCTAATTCCGCAACTCTTCTGAATCGCCTCCCTATGGCCCTTTCATCTGTGAAAGTCAGCCTCTATGTGTAATGGAGGCGACCAAAAGTGCTAGATGAATATGTGATATTCACTCCCCTGATGCCTTTAAGGGCACTGGCAGCTCTGATTTTTTTCCTCCAAGTTCAGTGCAAGGCGAGAGGGGTTTGCCCACGAGTGTGAGGCAAATTACACCTTGTCGGTCAGACCTTGTCTCTCTTTTGGGATGTTTCTCCTCAGGCATGATGGTTTCTTAAAAACCAAATTAAAGATGAGCAAGATGGTGCAAGAGAGGGAGCATATTTTTGTTTTGTTTTCACGGATCATTCAACTAATCTTCTACTGTCAGGTTTATGCTGATAATTTGAACTTTTTTTCAGAAATTTGCTTATTCCTCCAATCAGTGACAGGAATCTGCAAGTCAGTGTGATTGTAGTTATTGTGGATGTATTTATTTCCCTTTTTGAATGATGTGGGATTTAGACGAACCGACTAGCCCCAACAAACTGCAAACAGTACTCGTACAAGAGGTGCTACTTTTGGAGTTGCATAGCTCTTCCAATAATAACTTTGACAATTGCCAATGGGTATTTCTCATTGCCTTCTGATGCTTACTTGTATAAACTCAAGTCTTCTTGCTGTGTCGCAGATGATGGTAAAGAGGAGCCACCAACCACGTTGCTTTGGGTGCAGTACTTCCTGGCTCAGCACTACGACATGGTTGGCCAACAGACACTGGCTCTGGAATACATCAACACAGCCATTGAGAGCACTCCAACCCTAATCGAACTCTTCCTTATCAAAGCTAAGATTTACAAGGTAACCTTTGCTAATACGCAAATTTGCCTTCTGTGTTTGTGAATGTCATTGTCCTGTATAAAGTTGAGGTGTTGAATGTTTATTCTCTGGCAGCATGCTGGGAACATTCGAGAGGCAGCCCAGTGGATGGATGAGGCACAGGCTCTGGACACTGCTGACAGATTCATCAACTCAAAGTGTGCCAAGTACATGCTGAAGGCTGGCATGATCAAAGAGGCGGAGGAGATGTGCTCCAAGTTCACACGGGTGAGAAAGCATTCACAAGTACATGCTGAAAGCAGCTTTGGGATGAGTCGATAAAACATTTCTTTTACACACGGACACAATTGTTGGTACCCCTCTCTTAATGAAAGGAAAAACCTGCAGTAATCGCTTAAGTAACCTGAATGTGACAAATGTAGTCATAAATAAAACAACCAGAGAAAATCAGACACAGCTTCTGATTTGTGGTTCACAAGAATTATTTTCAAAAACAAATTTATGAAACAAGCCTGGACAATAATTATGACTGACACCCCTAACTTCATATTTGTTGCAGAACCGTTTTAGAAACTAACTGCAATCAAATGATTTTTGTTACTTTCAATGCGCCTCTCAGCAGTTACTTTGCCTCACTGATCATGTGCAAACAGCTCCAGTTCTCCCAAGTTTGAAGGGTGCTTTCTCCAGATGGCATGTTTGGGCTCCCTTCACAGATGTTCAATCGGAATTAGATTAGGGCTCATAGTAGGCCACAGATTGAAATTATTTCTGTGACCACTGTCGGTTTTCGTTCATTAGCAGATGGGTTCCATTTTTGTCCACGTGTGTATATATATATATATATGTACAGAACATCACTACCAAAGCTCACGTGTTCTGTTTTAAAATGCCCTTTTGTTGCCAATGCCATCTTTGCATTGCAGCTAACACAAATGTGCTTTGAATGAGAATAAACAAAAAATAGATCCCAATCCCACACACAATGTAATACCGGCATTTTTTTTTTTTTTTCTTAATCGAAACTACTTATAATCTCATGCTTCAGTATTTTTTATATATTTGTTTTTATATTACTCGTAGACGAAGATCTATTTTGAAGTGATGTCAAAGTATAAATTGTAAATAGAAATACACCATAAGCCTCTCCAATGTCTGCATGTCTTGTTTCTTGTGGCTTGGGACATGGTAACAGAATGTGCCATTTATGCCTGTGTTTGGTATTTGTCCAGGAGGGCGCATCAGCAGTGGAGAACCTGAATGAGATGCAGTGTATGTGGTTCCAGACAGAGTGTGCACTTGCCTATAAGGCTATGAACAAGTATGGGGAGGCTCTCAAGAAGTGCCATGAGATCGAAAGGGTAGGTTTGATCAAACAAGGAGGATGCCTTACAGTCGTTTGTCATCTGCATTTTTATTCACTTCCATGTCACATTGATTCATCTTGCCTGTGTTTGTCCAGCATTTTGTGGAGATCACAGATGACCAGTTTGATTTCCACACCTACTGCATGAGGAAGATGACGCTGCGCTCATATGTGGACCTGCTGAAACTTGAGGACGTGCTTCGGATGCATCCCTTTTACTACAAGGCTGCCGTCACTGCCATTCAGATATACCTGAGCCTTCATGACAATCCTTTGACTGATGACAGCAAAGAGTTGCAGGCCGACACTGGTAAAGAAAACTGCTTTTAGGTTAACGTTCTGTCAATGTTGTCTGTTAACATGCGAGGGTTTCAGCAACAACAAAAATATATTTTCAAATCTCAAAAGGCTCAAGGGCCTTTTTCCGATGTCACTACAACTGGCAACTTGAAAGCTGTGTCACATGCATTTTGTCTTGTTTTTTTTTGGCATGATGACACCGTGTGCTTGAGCAGATCCATTCATCAAAAATGTAATTGTGATTTCAATTTTGGCTGATCACAATCTTAAACATGCAGAGATGAAAGTCCTGCGGATTTTCCCGGAATTCCGGGTTTTTCAAATTTTTATGAAAATTTCTCCGGAGAATTGAGGAAAATTTGCATAATCCGGATATTTGTTGACAACATTGAACGAAGGCGCGTTTGAGTTCGTTGTATTGCTTTCACGAGCGTAGCCACATTGAGGCACGAACACTAGTAACAGTAAAGACATTAACATTGTCACACGTTGTCTATTTAAATACAAGATATGCTTTGTTTTAAAAAGTGCTAATGCTAAAGTCAGTGTAAAATCCCTTTGACATACTGGAAGGAAATTAACATTGACTTAAGGGAGTGATATATGTGAAAATGGGGAAATTAAAGGCACTTTGTAGGTTGTCACTTTTTGAAGTTGATTCAACACATTTTTATGGTCGCACCAACACATATTTGACATGTAGCACAAAATATGATTAGCCCGTTAAGTCCCAAGACATACAACAACAAAATAATATAAATATGACAAAGTGAGGCTCACCAACGTAGTCAGGTCACCCTCAAGGACCACGCGAGTAGCCCGCAGGCCTGTTTCAAAATATTTCACCAGTGACGGATTTTGTGATTTTTTTTTTTTTTTTTTCTCTTTAGGAATGTTGTACAAGTAGCATTGAAAATGTGAGCACCGGTTAAGACTTATAAAAATTGGTGAACCCAAAAAAGTTATATAAATCTGGGTTGAGTTGGGACTTGTCGGAACTTTGCAATGATTCTTTCTTGTTCATCTCCTCCAGCTAACCTGTCGGACAAAGAGCTGAAGAAGCTCAGGAACAAGCAGCGCAGAGCCCAGAAGAAGGCCCAGCTGGAGGAGGAGAAGAAGAATGCAGAAAAAGAGAAGCAGTTGAAGAACCAGAAAAAGAAGAAGGAGGACGACGATGAAGAGATTGGGGGCCCCAAAGAGGAGCTCATTCCTGACAAATTGGTTAAGGTTGGTTTTAGCGTTACATCGTAGGACGTTTCGGATGTCTCGGCAAGCCACAGTGAGATTGACCGTTGTGCTAACATCATATGTGCAGGTAGAAAATCCACTGGAAGAAGCAGTCAAGTTTCTGATACCTCTCAAACACCTTGTCAAAGATAAAATTGACACACACCTACTGGCATTTGAAATCTACTTCAGAAAAGGTTTGTGATTTCACTTCAGTGCAATAGTTCTGTATTTATTGTGTATTCTGAATATCATGGAATTTATTAAAACAGATTATACTATCGTTAATCCCGCAGTATTTTGATTTTTTTCATTGGTTATGCATATGATTTCTTCAGAAAAGTACCTGTTGATGCTCCAATCAGTGAAGAGGGCGTTAGCCATCAACCCAGACCACCCATGGCTACATCAGTGTCTAGTGCGCTTCTTTAAAGGAGGTAAAATCAGTCAATGAGCAATTCTGGTACATTTCTGTCCAACTGTTCCTGCTGTCTATAAAGTCCCCACCACAAGTATTGGAAGGGGAAGGTCAATTCCGAGGTCCCGACCAATTAATCAAATGGCTGAAAATTCAGCTGATTATGGCCCTTAGATCTTTTTTTTTTTTTTTTTTAAATTAATCATCCGATTAATCTGTAATAAGACCTTAACCCAATAGCATATGCATTTTACCTTCTGAAGCCGAGACTGAAGGAAGAAACCCTCAGAAACAAAATAGAACTGAAGGAGGCTGTAGTAAAGGCCTGGAAATGCCTTTGCAATGAAGAAAGCCACAATCTGGTGAATTCAATGGGTTGTGGGCTCCTGAGTTGTGGAACACATCTATTTACATCACATATGTAAATAGCATGAAATAAAAGCCGGATTTCTCAACTTTTCACTAATATTCTCATCGTTTGATCTGAAACCCGAAGGTCTCCATAATACAACCTTGTCCTTCCAATACTTTTGTTGCAGATTGTTCTACTTCTTGATTTAGCTTCCATCATATCTTACATACTGCCTTCTTCCCTTTCTTCAGTCTCGGAGAGCAAAGAGCTGCCTGACGTGGTTCGGACAGTCTTGAAGCAAGAAGTCACCCGGCTGTTTGGCGACAGCAATGCAAAGAGCTTCAACCAGGCCTACCTCTCCAAACACTCCAACTCCATACCACACCGATTGGCTGGTATGTTTTTTGTTTGTTTGTTTTTTTAAGGGGGGGGGGGGACGGAAGAAGGGGACACGTGCATCTAGTGCTCTGCGATGTACAAAAAATTTTATATAATGATGTACGTCTTTTTTATGTTGTTCAATGATATCCCACGATAGGAATTTTCCATAAAAAATGTATTTGTTTACCATATTTGATATAGGAAACACAAAAACAAAGTTAGCATCATTGTAACTTGTAAATGTGCATGATGAAAACAATTGATTGCTGCTTTCATCCGGTGGCTGCTGCCTAGTTATTAGCAGCTAAATTGCTTTTGTTTTCCTGGGCAGGCTGTGCAAACTCTGCTCACATTTTCATGCTTTCCACTTCATCCCTTTGGTGCGACATGTTGAAATTATTAACATGTTTGTTGTATTGCCTTATTTTTGACCCTGTACAACAGCTTCCATGTTGCTCATAGCCACAGAAGCTATGGGAAGGAAATTCTCTTGTCAAAATAGCTTCATCTTCGGAAGCTTATGCCAAGTCATGGCTGCCCATTAGCTACACATTCAGTCGTCGTTATTACTTTCCGTTGGTTGCTTTTTAAATTTTATTTATTGGTGGATTCTGTATACCATAAAGCTTGAAGAAAAAGCCGGCAACTGATTGGCTGCGGTCGTGCATGTTTCTGCTGCGACTAACGGAGCAAAAATGCTCTCATAGCCCGCAGCTGGTCATGTTATATTCCGATTCTTAATCATATATTCATCCACACCGACTTATATTGCGCTTTAAGAGGTAATCGATGAGGTGGTTGGGGTGAGGGGGATTGATGCGCTGCAACCCCCCCCCCCCAAAAAAAAAAGGCGGGGGAGGTGGTGTCGGTAATAGGGCCCCGGACCAGTGGTTGATATAAACAATAGAGGGTTACATGGTACAGTAGATGTTTTTATATTGCGCTTTGGTAGCACTAGCATGCACATAATCAGCTGATAAAGCAACCTCCTGTTCTTCCTGCAGCTGCTAAGATGATGGTATATATGGACTCGTCGACACTGTCTAAGGCAGTAGAATTGGCCACCGCACTCGATGAGTCACTCAACAACAGATCTATTCAGGTATGTTTATTCATGGAACACGGCTCGAAATAAGTGGATTTTCAACTATATTCTCATTTTAAAAGTCACAATTCACATTTTGCGCTTCAATCAAACACTTTGAAACACAAAACTGTGAAGAACGTTTATTTGGTAAAACGCGGAGCTGCCAAATGTTAGGGAAATCAATGAACGCCAACTACCCGTAACACGTCGTGATTGTTCCGAATATTTTATTTATTGTTTTAATCATCAGAGTGGCCGCTGTTACCGAGGGCTTTAGTTTTCCCTCTGTGTGGGACTCGGAAGGTGAGAAGCGCACCAGGCCTGATGAGTCCATCATAACCAGTTGGGGAAGAGAGCCCCATTATTATGTGAGCCTGTCTTTACACCAAACTGAAACATATTACCACGTCGTACATATGAAGTGTCACTTGTCAACGAGCCACGAATCACACTTTGTCAGCTGGCTTGCGACGTCACTGGCTGAGCACAGGGCCATCATAGCCAATATATATTTAAGGAAAAAGGTGATGATTACGTAAAAAAGGGAAACCAATTGGTTGTTTGTTCTTAAGTAAAATGTATTAGGTAAATCATTTTGCTTATCCGAATACACATTTATTAGAGTTTATTTTTTTATAAATTTTCAGCAGAATACTCAAAAACACTGAAACATTTGATAACTCAAGTCATAATTCAACCTCCTTGTTGTTGTATTTGATTTGTTTATTGTTTAAAACCATAGCTCCAAGCCCCTGGTATTAGCCTGCAAAAAATGTAACCTCAAAATTAGAAAATTGCTTCTTCGTCATTGATTCGCAAAATTGCTCCTCAAAGGAAAAAAGTTATTTTGAGCCTTGACGGAGTTCTGTCCCATAATCGCAATGTATGTCAATTTAATGCCCTCAATGAACAGAGTTTGACATCAGTGTTTTCTTATTCAGATCTGTACAGAGGTCCTGGAGAATCTTCGGAGTGGCTACCTGAGCGACTTGAAGGAGTGTGCCGAGTCGTACCGTGCAGAGTGTCACAAGCTTTATCCCTACACATTAGCTTTCATGCCCCCTGGATATGAGGAGAACACCAAGATCGCTAATGGAGACGTTTCCACAGAAACAGAAGAGCTAGCCAATGAGATGTGAGCATGACCAGACAAAGGGGGATGAGAAAAGGAATAGGGCCTTGCACAGAGCCTTGTGGTACGCCTGGCAGTAATTTTATAGAGCCAGACACACGGGAAGCGAAATAGATGTTTCGTTCTTCGGCTCAGCTTAAATTGGGTCTGACCCGGCATGGCTTGGCTCTTTCCCATATGCTGAAAATCAGGACTGTATGCGTGTGTGTATGTCATGGGTGTGAATGAGTCTTGAGCATGTGTGCGGTTTTGTTTATTTGTGATAAAGGGGAGGAAGATTAAAAAATGGCCATTTTACTTTTTTAATATCGCAACCGACCACACTGAATATTAAAGGGGGGGGGGACAACAGTTATTGGCAAATGTTGGAGTGAAACTGACCTGACTGGTTTCTCTGAGATGACAACCACTGGAGTTTGACTCTGCCGCTTCCACCAGCCCATCGGTTGTTTCTTTTACAAGCAAAGCTAATTTAAATAATAGAAATGGGACACAGCTGTCACTTGGGAGCAATCGTGCACTCAGTGAGTTTGATCCAACGGGTCACCAGGAATCTAAGCAGAAAGAATTGATGAGGACTTGAAGTAGATGCAAAGGACATCCATCAAGCACAGGTGAATTTGGATCTGCCGCAACAATCATTTGAGCACCAGTGGGCAGTCCGTCTACTCACCACTGCGCAGCAGAGAGCGGACAACATGACCTGGAAGAAGGCCCATGCTCCCCTTGCCGTTTTAATATTATGGTCCGTTAACTACTTAGCGGCTCGTAGCATAAAATGGAAACTGCAAGGTTGTGTTTTGTCTTCTTCTGAATACACTGCTACTACTACTACTCGACATGTTCACATTTAGGAGAAAGTATTGGATCTAAGCAATATCATAGATGACTCCTGTCCATCATTCAACGGTCATGATTTTACGTTTGGGTCAAGTGGTCTCATCATTTTTTTTTCTGTGTGCATCTACACTATAACTCATACAGGAAGGGTCTTCCATCGAAATCCAAATGACTCTTTGGGAGGTCAGAATTTGTCATCCAAAACTGTTCCCTGGGGTCAAACATGATGCAAAAATTTCAGCACCCTAAAGTTGATCAATTTTGTTTTGTTGGCCCATTTCCCTTATTTCTTGCCCTTCTCTCTAATTTGGGTTAATGTGAAAGATGAAATCTGAGATGGCATTGTAAGATATCTCTGGATTTTTGTATTAAAACCAAACAAAAGTAAACTTGTTTTTTTATTTGTTTTTTTTTTTCAATTAATTGCATCTGTTGATGTAGTCAGACTGATGGTATCCTCATTCTAGGGTCACTGATCAAGTGCTGATCTTTGTCAAAGAACGTAGTTTTCTAATAATGACCCAGTTGCAAGAACAATTATGTGAACCCTTTGGAATTACCTGGATTTCTGCATAAATTGGTCATAAAATGTGTTGTGATCTTCATCTAAGTCACAACAACAGACAAACATAGTCTGCTTGAACTAATACTACACAAATTATTATATGTTCTCATGTTTTTTTTAATTGAACACCATGTAAACATTTGCAGTGTGGGGCGGAAAAAGAATGTGAACCCTTGGGGTAATGAGCTAATTGGGGTCAGAAGTCAGCAACCTGGAGTCCAATCAATGAGATGAGATTGAAGGTTTTGGGTAAAGCTGCTCTGCCCTATTAAAAACACACCAGTTTGGCTTTTCTCAAGATGCATTGTCTGATGTGAACCATGCCTCGCACAAAAGAGCTCTCTGAAGACCTATGACTAAGAATTATTGACATGCATAAACCTGGGAAGCGTTACAAAAGTATCTCTAAAAGCCTTGATGTTCATCAGTCCATGATGAGTCAAATTGTCTATAAATGAAAAGTTCAGCACTCTTGCTACTCTAACAAGGAGTGCGCCGTTCTATAAAGATGACTGCAAGAGCACAGCGCAGAATGCTCAGAAGGGTGAAGAATCCTGGAGTGTCAGCTAAAGACTTACAAAAGTCTCTGGTTTGGGGCTGAATGCTACCTCAGGACCTGGACAGATTGCTGTCATTGAAGGAATAATTAATTCCCGAGTTTACAAAGACATTTTGGACAAGAACTCAAGGCCATCTGTCCACCAATTAAAGCTCAACAGAATATGGGTGATGCAACAGGACAATGACCCAAAGCACAGAAGTACAGTATATCAACAACAGCTCCCTGGTGAATGTTTACATGGTGCGTTCAATAAAAATACATGAGAACATATTGTTTGTGTGGTATTTGTTCAAGCAGACTGTGTTTGTCTATTGTTGTGACTTAAATGAAGATTGCAACACATGACCAATTTATGCAGAAATTGAGATAACATACGTTTTCTTGCAACTGTATGCCAGGCTTCAGTACAAATGAAAAATGTTGACATACAAACTTTTGAGTCGAACATAACAGCCCATTTTGTCTCTGTCCCGTTTCTGTGTGCATAATTTACATCATCTGTTGTTACACAACAGAATGTGTAAAACTCACAATGGGTTGAAACCTTTTTTTTTTGTTTGTTTGGGGAGGGATAAACGCTCTACATGTTAATAAAAGTATAAGTCTTACAATTCGTCGCACTGATGTTATTTTTATTTTTGGTGGTCATTCTTACTGCTGTATGTGGAAGCTTTTTAGATACTGTAGTTGTGCATACAGGTGCGCTGTAGAGCGCCAACAGGGGGCAGCACAGCAAGAAATTGATGGCTGAACACTTAAAAGCAGGGGTGTAGTGGGCGTGTTACGCGGGGGTACGCCGTCCACCCACTTCTCCCGACGCCACATTCAATTTTTATTGAAATGTTTGTTGATCATTGTTCTAATGCGAGTTATGCTTAACAACGTTGGCCTGTGATTATTTTGGAGTAAAACATTAAATTTAACGTTAGTTCAACTGGTGTTGTAGCCTATGATTGATGTTCTGTATGTATACATAGAACATCCCAGAATCGCGTACACCCACTTAAAAAAATCCCCACTACACCACTGCTTAAAATGGGTTGTATGAAAATCCGTTTGAGCATTTATTCGATTTCTTTTCCAATCCAGCTTGAGGTTCATTCGAGTAATAGGACATCTTCATGTCAATAGTGAGGCAAAACTTCATAAGTTGGCATCTGTGCCTTACTAGTAGTGTACTGTGAAATGCTATGTATTAACGAGTACAATTTTACAACATCAGTAGTACAATAAGTGCGCAATAGCCTCTATGGAAAGCCGTAGGAGTTGGTTTTTTTTTTGTTTTTTTTTTAATAAAAATGTCCGTAATACTCAATTGGAAGACAATTCAACGCACTAATAAAATGATCGTGTCTTACATTTTCCCCCACTACTTTGACATTTGTACACACTAGTCGGACAACGTTGTTTTTCCGTTGTACTTCGGTTTCTGTAGAATATCACGTTGTTATTATTATTGAATTATTTAAGTGTATGTACTTTCACTGCAGAGTGGTAGCCACTTTAGCCACCTCTGCTTGTTTTCAGGTGTGTTGGAGGAAGTGTCCCGAGTACTGTATACTCAATTTTGTTTTCTTTGAGGGCGGCGTCGCTGTGCCGCAGTTTGTGAGCACAAAATGCAAGGAAGGCTTAGGACAAGTCCACTCCAGTGAGAGCGAGAGTCAGAGCTATGGAGTCCTCCCTGGAGCTGTCCAATTCTTTGGGCAGTGTATCGTCGCTGCTGAGCGGCTGTAGGACCTTCAAAGTGCTTGTGATTGGGGACTCTGCGGTGGGCAAGACGTGCCTTACACACCGACTCTCCGCCGCTCAGTTCCCCAGCTGCGTTGAGGCCACGATCGGAGTAGACTTCCGAGAGAGACTCCTTGATGTCGACGGGGAGATGATCAAGGTACGAAGCCAAATTAATCATTTGCATTAGCATTGTAATTAAAGACCAAACTGACTATTTGAAATGCTGGCTAAAAGGCCATTTAATACACAGTCGACGAAAGCTAACCTGCACGCATCATTGATTCAGCTGTATATCAGAATTGTTTTAGTCATCACCGGTGCGTTTTCTGAAGTTATTTGTTTGTACTTACCTACCTACAATGTGACAAAAGAAACTGTTAAGCAAAGGAAGTTGGTTTCATTAGGAGGAAGTTTCCACCTTTGCGTGCGCATTTGTAGGTTAAATTGGTCGACACGATTTAAAACTTTGCTAATGCTATCTCACACCCGACCTCATGGAGGAAATTCAACGTGTACTTTGTTGTTGTTCACCAAATGGCACGGAAAACAGGCTTTTAATTGCCTCGTTTTGTGTTTGGACTCTCACACTGACTTTCACCCTTTGAACAATACTGCCTGAATAGACAAACGGCACAAGACCATTTTGTTGCCACCTGCATTTAAGTGTCCATACGTGACTGACAAATGCTAAACGCTACGGCAAAGTTTGATAGTGCAGTGAGTCTACCTCCTCTCTAACAGAATCAAATCATGGACACAAAAGCAGGATCTGGACAAAGTGATGACCATAATTAACTCATGAAACATTCTATTACATTACTTGATGGGTCTTTATCCAGCTGTTAGACCAAAGGAAGATCTTTGTATCTACAGCTTTTTATCATATGCAGTGATGGTTGTTCGTCTGTGTGCCCTGCGATTGGCTGGCACCCGGTTCAGGGTGTCCCCCACCTACTGCCTGAAGACAGCTGGGATAGGCTCCAGCACCCACCGCGACCCTTGTGAGGATAAAGCGGATCACAAAATGGGTGAATAGATGGATGGATTCATCCATACTGTATTAGGCGTAGAAAAAAAA